TTTTAGTAGAGACGGGGTCTCGCTCTTGCTCAGGCTGGTTTTGAACTCCTGAGCTCAAACAATCCGCCCTCCTCGGCCTCCCAGAGAGCTAGGATTACAGGCGTGAGCCACTGTGCCCGGCATGCCTGTGGCTTTTAAAAGAGTAAAATACAGAGTTCTAAGTTTAATAATAAGAAAATAGAAAACATTATTAGAAATCGGAGTAGTAAAGAAATTGATTAAAGTAATAAGGATAGAAATAGAAAAAGTGTTTATATATCTTTAATCTAAATACCATGGTAGAACAAAAATGGGATAGTTTAAGAAAAACCCGAAAAAGCAAAATTCCTTTCTTTTCTGATATAGTTAGGTTTTTAACCTAATAGTATTTATTTTATGCTAATCATCTTTATGCTTATGATTAGTTGACTCTTGCAAATTCCAGTGTTTTTAATTGGCAGGTATACAACTGATAGTGTCATTTTGTTTTGCAGAATAATTCAGAGTTACATTTTACGGGAAGAATCGGGCACACTTTCTTCAGAGGCATCTGATTATAACAAAGTCCATCTGAGTAAACGGGGTGGCATCATGGCGTCTTTATATACATCCCATCCAGCTGATAGTGGATTAACATTGGAACTCTCTTTGGAGATCAACCGAAAATTACAGGCCGTTTTGGAAGATACATTATTAAAAAATATTACTTTGAAGGTATTTATTTCTCATTCACTTACCAGCCAGTAAACATGGCAAAATGGTGCCTGTATCATCGTCTGACTTAACTGTTAAATGGGCTATTTCTGTAATGCATGATATTTTACCCAGAGATAAAGTTTTAATGTTTTTCTCTCTGTCATCTAGGCTAGAGTACAGTGGCCCAATTATAGCTCACTGCAACCTCAAACTCTTGGGCTCAAGCAATCCTCCTGCCTCAGCCTCCCAAGTAGCTAGTACTACAGACATGCGCCACCACACCCAATTGTTTTTTTTTTAATTTTTTGTAGAAATGGGGTCTCGCTATGTTCTCCATGCTGGACTCAAACTCCTGAGCTCCAGTGATCCTTCTGCCTTGGCCTTTTAAAGCACTGGGATTACAGGCATGAGCCACTGCACCTGGCCTGAAAAGTACAATTTTTTAAGCTAGTAAGAAAAGATGAAGAAATAGCAAAAATCAGCCACTTGATAAACACTAAGATGAGTTGTTTACTTTGCATTGCATGGCCTTTGATGTACACTTAGTTATAGTTAATTGCTGAATTTTTTAAGATTGTGGCATTTCTAATGTATTTTCCAGGTTTATTTTATTTTTTTGCAGTTATTATCTGACCCAACTATTTTATTTTTGCTGTGTTTGGGCCTTGATAGTAATGGGTTTAAAAAATAATTTTTAAATCTAGTAAGTAATCATTTTATGTACTAAAAATTGCTGTAGCTTCAGTAGAAAGATTGAGAATGACTTTGAAATGGACAGGACTGCTTTACTAAAAACTGTTGTGTGCCTAGTTTATCTCACATGGCATTTAGGACTAATCACTCTTTCAGTTTTAAAATTTAGGCAAAAAATAGTTCAAACTGAGTCTTTTTATTTGTTATACTTAGTAGTTCTGTTTTTGTCTTTTCTTTTTTCCCCAATTTTTAAAGGAAAATCTACAAACGCTTGGAACAGAAATAGAACGTCTTATTAAACATCAGCATGAACTAGAACAGAGGACAAAGAAAACCTAACACAAAGCTCTTGCTCAGTAAACAAACAAAAGCCACGCAGGAGCAGGTGCCATTGACCAGTATTGTCGGAAACTTTTCCCTGCTTTGTGTGTCAGCCAGTAAAAAATTTGTTCTGCTTCATCTGTACAAAAAAAGCATCCTTTTACAACATGAATGCATTGCTGTGTATACTGTAAGAGTGTAAGCTTTGATGAAAATTGTTTTTATATGGTACAGTACACTAGCCTGTCATTGAATCTAAACAGCTTAATTGGCTCATAGTTGTATGAAGTGCTGAACATTACTACAAGGGCTTTTAAAAAAAAACCTCGTCCATATTTCTTCCCTTTAAAATAGATAATGTCAAAAATGATTCAGGTTTTAAAAAGTATGCGTGAAAAGACAGGTGTTAATCATTCAGTACTATGCTGTTTCTCCAACATCAAGAAAGCTAAAGAAATGATAAAAATTTGTGTTTTGACATTCCAGTGAAACATTTGGTTGTCTTTTAGGGATGCATATGATTACTTAAATCTTTTAATTTCAATTTTAATGAAAACTGTACTTAATAGGAAAGCTAGCTATAGGTAACTAGCAATGATTAGGCATTTTATGCCACCGTCAGGTTTCCTTATCTGTGTTAGGTACATTTTTTCAGATTCGGATTGTTTGAGTTAATAGTTGAATTTTTTAAATCTTTAGTTACTTAAAATATGACTGTAAATTACATGTTCATTTAGAAAATTCCTGTGGACTTCAGTTATATTTTAAAATGTGAAATGGAACTAATCATTAGAACAGAGAGATGAATAATTCTTTGAAACTGAAATACTTTAGTTTTATTGATATTGTGTAAAGATAAATGTAATAGTGTTTTAAGATATTTATGAAGGTCCAGTTCTCAAGAGAAATCAGCATATGGCACTATTAACCATTTCATTTGAGCACCATTCTTTACTATTAATAGAATTAATTATGTATTATAGTGGAGTGATCATGCAGTTCCCCTAAAGGTGATGTTTCAGTATATTTATTTAAAACACAAAATAATCATATCTCTAACCAAAGGAATTTTAGAGCCAAATTTTTGTATCTTGTTGGATTTTTGCAATATTTATTTAAGATGTACACTTAAATGTTGCCAGCCATAGTATCAATATTTTTATGTCATTGAATTTTTTCTCACCTCTTATAATTTCTGAGTATGATTTTTCATATTATGTTCAAATCATTACTATATTAAGAAACCTTGGCTCGTGTGCAGATGTTGCAGCAAGTCTCATTTTTATTTTGAATTTTTACATCATTTTTTCTCCCCTTAAGTGATTAAGCTTTGGGATAATGGATTAAAAGCCTTCAAAGAATTGTGTGGGCTCTAAAAGTTGGGCTCATGGTGGCAATGTCCTTTTAATGTGTTTTAACATTTTTTTTTTAATCAACTTAACATTGTTTTAAAAGATAATTTACTAAGGATTAGGTGATTTAATGTAGTGTCTTATTTTTTCTATATATTAAGTTAGATGTTGTCAGCCAAAAACAAATACCATCTTTTCACTTCAAAATGAAAATACATTCAAAGACATTTTATTTTTAAAATAGTTGTAAAAAAATATTGGTCTTACCATAATGTGTCTTGCTCTTTTTATTAATAATAATTTATCAAAATAAAATAGGGAAAGTGTAGACAAATCTGAATTATTTTTCCATTTGTTTCTAAATATACTAAACACTCCTAAAGACTACTTAGAGTAGGCAACATGACTAAATTTTTCTGGCTTCTTACATGATATAGATTCATAAACTATAATATTTTTTCTCAAGGCACAAAGTGTATAATGGAGACCAAATAGTGATCAGATTCATAGTGTCCTATGCCTGTACACTTTAAAGTAAATGTACATACATTTATACAGACAAAAATGGGACACTGCAGTGTTAATATTTGTGCCATCATCTACTTAATAGTGAAGCAATTTTAGAAGAAAACTATTATAAACCATATTTTGACTATCTTGTTACCTTTTTTCCCCATAAATTCTGAAGAAGATGCCTCATTTTCCTTTTGTTCTTCAGTATCTTACTACATCTTTTTGTATATGGATCGGTACTGAGCAAAGTAAAATGTGCATGTATCAGAGATACCTATCTAGACTGATTCACAAACAGCTCCGGATGCGAGGATCTGAAGGGCCTTCTGCCTGTTACTCTATTGAAGATAGAATGGGGTGTCTGGAAAGGAAGAATTGTCTGGATACACCTAGCATTTGGAGAGTTTTATATGTTTATTATTAATTATACACATTAAAGGCATTTTGATTAGTTAGCAATATTTTGGTATCTTTGAGCAGGAAATGATTTTTGTATATGTATACACTTCACTGGGTTTTAATTTTAAATCAGATACTTGCTATGACTCCCTTTTTCCCATTCTGCTTCAGACTTTTAGCCTGTTCAGATTTAAGGATTGAAAATGATGAGTTTGGACAGAAAAATGAGTTTGAACTTTGATGATGGCTTTTTGATTTTTTTTTTTTTTTT